CAAACTTCAAGAAGCTAGTGCACAATATTGGAATGCGAAGGCTCAAGGATGTGAATTGATGCTCTCATCAGGGGGAGTTAATGCGCGTTGCACTCTTTTTCCATTACAAGGTTTTGTCCCACTAGATTTTCCTTGCAAGGTTTTTAACGAGGCAACCAAAACGCGTATTATTAAACATGTGTACTCTTTTTCCTTTACAAGAAGTTTTTTTCCACTGGGTTTTATTTTAGTTAAGGTTTTAACGAGGCACTTATTGAGTAGACATTCAAGGGGGAGTATTATAAATAGAATTGTAATTAAAGTGAATGTCTATCTTTTAGAGAGTTTGTTACTTTGTGGCTAAGTCATTTTTCCCCTATAAATAAAGAGGTCTTACCCCATTGTAAATCTGTCACGACCCCAATTCACCCTCCATGAACATGTCGTGATGGCACCTAGTTCCTAAAACTAGGTAAGCCTAACAGTGCGGAACAAACAACATAACTTGCGAAAACAACTAATTAAGGCTGAACATTTATAAGAAAGTTGTATAAAACTGCTACTTGGCACACACAACTCATAATAAATGCGGAAGTCTAAAATCTCATCCTAAAACCCGGAAACTCACGGGAAACACAGGCTAATAGAAATACTGTAAATGCTCTAATCTCCAGGGGGAGCTACCGGAATCCCACATCCGTAGTCCCAATATAAATGCGCAATCACAGCCAGGAGATACACAGAAATGAAGTACAAAAGACAAGCAACAGGTAGTACTGGCCTAGCATGCTTCACGTAGTACAGTTAAGGCAACTTAAGCAATTAGACAAGTTAAATCAACTAAACATGCTTTCCTACTCTAACACAGGCCATAATTGCAAGTAGAATGAAGCAAATATGAAAGGAACTCAATCGCAATATCTTAAGTAAAAACCGGATTTTCAACAATTGGCTCAAGTACGCGCTCGTCACCTCGCGTACAAGGCACTCAAATACCAAATAACAAATCCTAAGGGGAAAGGTCCCCCATACAAGGTTAGACCACTTACCTCGAACCGGCTCAATATCAACTAGAAATCACGCCCTTGCCACGAGTATCCGACACCAAATGGCCCAAATCTATTCAATTCAATTACACATTGTAAATAACATCGCAAACAATTGGTTTTGCTATTTAATTCAAAGCTACGGCGTGAAATTAGGTGAAATGACCAAAATGCCCTTCAGGCCAACACCTCGTAATCGAATAATTTTCACATTTTCAGAACCCTCGTACTCTCACGAGTCTAACCATATAAAAATCTCCCAAATCGGAGATCAAATGCCCACTCAAAACTCAATGGTTTAGCCTATGAAGTTTTACCCCATATTCTTCCAATTTTGATCCCAAATTCGAATTTTAATGATGGATTTAACTACAAAATGATGAAATGTAACTAGAAGGGGTTAAAGAAACGTTATCCAATAATCTTCTCTTCAAAACCCTCTGAAAATCGCCCTTACCCGAGCTCAATTTGGTTTTTCTAACTTATGAAATCAAACCCTCGAATTTTCTATATCAGAACAGGCATTTCCGCTTCTGCGGACAAGGGACCGCTTATGCGGTCCCGCTTATGCGGAAACAAGCCGCTTCTGCGATCTTCAATTAAATGGCCAGGATCGCATCTGCGATAACGAAGACGCAGGTGTGGACGCGCATCTGCGAGAGACAATCCGCTACTGCGGAAACTAGGGGCCACTGGGATTCGCTTCTGCGGAGGACAAGCCGCTTCTGCGGCTCCGCTTATGCGGGAGAAGAACCGCTTCTGCGGTTTCTGAGGGAAAGGGGCAATAGCCGCTTCTGCGGCCATCTAGCCGCTTCTGCGGCGCCGCATCTGCGGTTCCCAAGCCGCAGATGCGAAAATACCAGAAGCAACAAGAAATCAGCCGCTGCACACTTCTCAAATTCTTCCGTTAACCACCCGAAATCATCCCGGGGCCCCCGGGACCTCAACCAAAAGCACCAATAACACCTAATACCTCATTCAAACTTGTACCAATCCTTACACCACCTAAAACAACGCCGGAAAGTCGAATTAATCAATGATTTGAGCCTAAAAACTTCAAATTCCATCAAAATACATTTTTGATCAAAAACCTAACCAAAACACGTCTGAATGACCTGAAATTTTGCACACACATCCCAAATGACACAACGGAGCTACTTCAACTTCCGGAATTCCATTCCGGCCCTCAGATCAAAAATTCACTATCGGACCGGAAACTTCAAAAATTCAACCTTCGGCATTTCAAGCCTAAATGAGCTACGGACTTCCAAAATACATTCCGAACACGTTCCCAAGCCCGAAATCACCTAACGGAGCTAACGGAACCATCGGATTTCCATTCCGAGGTCGTCTTAACACTGTTCCGACTACGGACCACTTCTCAACACTTAAGCTCTCATTTAGGGACTAAGTGTCCCAAAACTCTCCGAAACTCTATACCGAACGTCCCGGCAAACCAAAATAGCAGAAATGAGCTTAGGGGAAGCAGTTAATTGGGGATCGGGGCGTTAATTCTTAAGACGACCGGCCGGGTCGTCACAAAATCATCCCAAATCAATAAGAATTCTCTCTCCCTACTTTTCTTTGCAATATTCTTCTTCTTCTTTTATTGTTTTATAACATCTTTTGATTTTTGTTTTCTCAAGGTGGGATCACCTTTTTTTAGGGCCAATGATAAAAATAGAAAATTTCGGTACCAATATTAATTTTTTGATCCCGGTAAAAAAAGGTTTTGAAATGAATATTAGTTGGATAAAAATATCCTCTCATTCAAAAAGCAGCAGAAGCAGAACTGAATAGCAAAAGATAGAAGACGAAGGAGAAGAGAGGTGACAACGAAGGAGAAGAGGAATGTTGAACGTGTAGGATTTTAAATTTGGGTTCTATGAATAGAAGTTGTTTGTGGCTAAAAAGATCCATGGGGTTTTATTTCTTGATATTTAGATTATTGTTTTAACACCAATGTGAATGAATTTTATTGAAGAAACAATATTTCACCATTATTAGGATTGAAGCTTTTGAAGAACAGACAATTGAGTTTTATGAGTTATTGAAGTTTGATCCAAAATTGTTTTTAGGATTTGTTGGGATTGTGATTAGGAATCAATGGTTGAGATTTTATTAGGTGTAGAATTGAGGAAGCTAAACTGAAATTTTGTTAGCAAAAACGTGATAAACCTTGAAGAACGTTATTGATCTATTCGTCGAATATTGTCATTCCACAAGTTATACCGCAAAGGTAATACTTTACACTAACTCACAATATCTAACTTATGAGATACTCTGTAACTCTTACCTAAGGAAAATATATCTCAGGGACTTTGAAGCCACAACTTATTCTTAGAGATGGGTATTATGGCAGTTCGGATTGGATATGAGAATTTCAGTTTGGATTTTTGATTTTCGGATTGAAGAAATGACAATCCAAATCCAATCCAAATAAGTTCGGATTAGATTGAATTTTTTAAGTTCGATTTCAGATTAATCGATTTGGATATTATAGATTTTCGGTTTTGAGCATATAAATTGAGTTGTTTCTATTTCTTACAAAAATGAATATACAAATGAAGTACTCATGTTAAATTGCATGAAAAGTTCCTCATTCTTGCCGCAATCATCAAATAAAGTATTCAAGTAATGAAATTATATAAAAATAATACAACAGAGACATTAATAAGGCCGATAAGAAGTAGCAATAGTAAAATCATGTCCAAATAGAAAGTATTCTAATAGTAACTTTGTAATAAATATTGGATATCTGAGATAATATCTAATGGGTATGGTATTGAACTTATTACTGTTGGCATATGGATAATGGATCAAATATAAAATATAAAAACTTCAAATTTTCGGATATCCAAAAATCCATAGTACTAAATCCAATATCCAAAAATTTTAAAAATTAAATCCAAAATCCAATCTATAATTCGAAAATCCAAAATTCGAATTTTGGTTTGGATTTTAAATTTGCCTAAACTATGCTCACCCCTACTTATTCCCCATGGACAACACTTTACACTACCTTATTGTGCCTAACTTATGAGATAGTTTACACCTGCCTCGTAGGCAGAAAGTTAGATGAGAGGTTTTGAAGCCACAACTTATTTCCCATGAATAACACTTTACGCTACCTCATTGTGTCTAACTTATGAGATACTCTATGACACTTGTCTTATAGGCAAAACTTAACTAAGGGACTATAAAAACCACAACTTATGCCTCATGGGCAATAATTTGTGCTACCTCATTGTGTGTAACTTATGAGATACTCTATAACTCTTGTCTTACACGCAAAACTTAGATCAAGAACTTTAAAACCACAATTTATGCCTCGTGGGAACAATTTAAGCTACCTCTTTGTCTTAAGTTATTTGATATTCTATAAACTTAGTTTTGGACTTTAACCACAACATATTCCCCATGTAAGTTTCTAGAAAATAGACTCCTATTGGGACCGTTAAGAGCTTTTGATGAAATTAGGAAGAGAAAACAAAAGAAATATCAAAGAAAAGAGAAAACTGGAAGTATGTAGCCCAAAAAATTATTAAAGGGTATAAAGGTCATTTATCACAGTAAAAAAATACATAAAGGTAAGTAAATCAACGTATTCTTTACCTAGGCCAAAAAATAAATAGTGAAGCCATGAAAGGTCACACTGTTATTTCCTGTATTCCTAACGAGTCTGTGTCTCCCCAGACTCCATTTATGGGATCAAGCTGGGTATGTTGTTGCTGTTGCTAGCAAGTTTGTGTCTAATATTAGTTGGGCTTGAAAATTACTTACAATCTTGGATAGTCAAGCAATATGTTTCCTAATTAAGCCATGTACATTTATTAATTCATGTATATCTCACCTATCTATGACCTTCAAAATTGTCCAGGAAAATAGATGCATGCAAAAACCAGTCAATGATTAAGAAATATGTGGAAATTCAAAGTTAGTTGAATAAGCTAAAGATTTCAAAAAAAAAAAAAAAAAACAGAAATATTAGTTGCTTCAAGCAAAGAATAATAGGCAAAAGGATATCCAAGATTAACTCATTTCCTTGTCACTTGGTCTTTACTGCAGCTTTCAAATTAACTTAAACAGAAGTTAACAAGACCCTGTGCTTAGAAAAGGAAAGAGAATGAGTACAATACAAAATCAGTCATCACGCCCTTTACCGTGCAAAGCAGAGTGCTGCTGAAAGATGGAGCCAATTCTTGTGTTCATTCAACCACCTGAAGTAGGCATTCCTCCATGAATTGTTGAAGAAAATAGAGCCTAACACTCCCCAAAATGCAACAATAAAACCCAACGCCATCGATATATAGAACTCTTTAGATGGAAACTCATCATCATTTTCTTGAGAAGTACTAATATTGCTGTCATAACTAACATGAGGATTGGGAGGAGCAAATGTAGGACACTGTGGAAGAGGACGGCCACATAACTGAATATTCCCACCATAAGTTGAGGAATCAAAACCTTGCAATTGAGTGCTTAACGGTATTCTCCCTGACAAGTTGTTATTTGACAAGTCCAACACACTAAGAAACGTCAAATTAGAAAGGCCTATAGGGATTTTCCCTGAAAGCTGGTTTCTTGACAAGTCAAGTACCTCTAACATCTTCATTGTACCAATTCCTTCAATGATATTTCCTGTCAAATTGTTTCTTGATAGGTTCAACGATAGCAATGCATTCATTCTGCTAAAATCTTTAGGGATGTCACCAACCAGTTCATTGCTAGAAAGATCGATGGTTTTGAGTAGCCACAAGGTATTTTGGTACTCTGACTCTTTGTTTTTCCATTGGACTAATGCATCGCCATGGTACAATATACCTACTCGAGGGACATAAGGATCAAAGTTATAGCTCACACTTGAACCATCTTGCAAAAGTTGCAGTGTGGTGAAATTGCTGAAACATTGTGGAATTCTTCCAGATAAATGGTTGCCAGAAAGGTCCAGTATTTGAATAGATTGAAGCTGACATATACTTGGAGGAATGCTACCCGAGAATTTGTTGAATCGAAGGCTCAGAATGCCCAAATAAGGTAACTTAGTCCCTATCCATTCTGGGATATTTCCACTCAATGTATTTCTTCCCAAATCCAAGACACTCAAACCTCGGCAATTCTTCAAAGAGGCAGGGAACTCTCCACTTAAATTGTTTTTACGCATGTATAGAGAGGTCAAGGTTGTTGAAGAACACAAAGAGTCTGGAATGCTTCCAGATATACGGTTATTGGCTACATTAAGGATCATTGGAACAGACATAAGGGTCCAACAATCAGGAATCTCTCCGGACAAGAGATTTTCTGACAAGTCAAGGGTTGTGGCTGAACGAATTTCACATATGGAGTTAAGTGATCCAGAAAACTGATTGTTGTTAACGCGCAATTCACTAACCAATTGAGGAAATCCTGGTAAGGGCCCTGAGAAATTGTTATAACTGAAATCTATGACAATGGGACCAACAATATTAGCTGATAAATCATGTATCTTTCCACTGATTTGGTTGTAAGAGAGATTCAAGTATGTTAACACGGGAGGCAACCTTGGAAACCAACTAGGCATTGTGTCTGAGATACTAGCAAGAGAGATATCCAGATATCCGTAGTTATTTTGAGTTTGAAGCCATCTTGGAAAATGATGCCCAAGATTACAAGATGAAAGACTTATAACTTGTAGTTGAAAACATGGAACCCAATCAAGGCTAACATTCCAAGTCAAGGAGTTGGAAGACAAGTTTAAACTTATCAGGTTGCAAAGGTTGGAAAGATGGGATTCAGAGATTGTGCCTTCTAACAAATTAGAAGGTGCAAGAAAAATTTCAAGATTGTAAAGTTGCCCTAAACCTTGTGGTATCATCCCATGAAAATGATTATACCCCAGATGCAACTCTCTCAGAGACGGAAATAATGCCAAGTCTGGTAATGACCCTGTCATTTGGTTAATAGACAAATCAAGATATTCAAGACTGGAGATTTGTCTAAAGCTTTCATGGAAAATGCCATTCAGCAAATTGTCTCGTAGCCTCAATTCCCTCAAGGATGAAAATCTAGTAAGATTAATCAATGAACCAGTAAGTGCATTTTGCTCAAAGGACAAAAGTTCAAGTGATCTCGTACTCCCTGATAAGATACTAAGCAACTCTGAAAATGGTTGGCTTATGTTATTGTCTCTTGCATCAAGAGAGCGTAAACGACTCAAATTCCCAAAAGATTTTGGTATCCCGCCTTGAATACCAGTGCTAGATAATTTAAGATGTTCCAAATATTTCATGTACCCAAAGCCACTAGCAATTTGACCTAAGTCGTTGTATGAGAGATCTAGGCTAGTAAGACTAGAGAAGTTAAACAACCAACTATATATTGCAGGAGATGAATATCCATTTAAAGAGATGTCGAGGACGGAAAGACTGGCAGAGGAAATATTAGCTAAGACAAGTGATGAAGGATTGACTATAGGGAGATGACAGGAAGATAAATGCAATTCCTTCAAATTAGGGAGCTTGATTACCTCTTGCAACCAGTTTTTAGCTTGCACATAGGATAAACTTAGATCTAAGTACTCCAAATACAATAGATGAGAAAGCCACTCAAGGTTCTTTACTTCAAAAAAATTGCCACCAAGATCAAGAACCTTTAAGTAGGTAAGATTTTGAAGCTGGGGAGGAATTAGACCAGTAAAACCATTGGAACTAGCTTTAGATGAGAAATTTAGGTACTCTAGTCCTTTGAAGTAACCGATATATTTTGGTATTTCGCCTCCAAAATCATTGGAACTAAGGTCCAAGTACTTCAAATACTGCAACTTAACCAATGAAGATCTAATAATACCTCTCAGTGTGAAATAGTTACCTTCACCATCAGGAGTGAGTTGGATGCTCCCACGAAGATTTAGGACGAGTATATGGCCAGTAGTGTTACTGCATTTCACACCCCTCCAAGAACAGCATTCCTCATTATCATCTTCATTTCCCCATGAAGAAAGCAAATCATGTTCGTCTATGAGACCTCGTTTGAACTCGAGAAGAGCTTCCCTCTCCTTAGTTATGCACAAAACTTCATGATTCCCTCTTGAAGTTGATCCAAAAGCAAAGCTCTGATGCAGGATCAGTATTGATAAACAAATCAGAAGCAAATGAATTGGTCTGCAGTGTTCTTTGCTATCCATTTGTGTGTGTGTGTGTGTGTGTGTGTGTGAAACAGCATATGCAAGAGGCAAATGAGGACTTGAATGTGAGGGAAAAGGAGTGCCCACTCCTTGATATATACATTTTGAAATAAAGCCAACTCTACCCATTTTGGCATCAATTGTAAAATGTATATATTAAGCAATGTTCCATAAATGTATTCAGGACAAGTCTACCCACTAGCTGTAGTCAAGTGGAATAAAAAATTCAATATATGTATTCATAATCAGAGATTCATTAGTGTAGAAAAAATTGTGCCTTGGTAAAGAACAAACTATTTTTTCGATCTAATCATTAATCCAATAATTTGTACTGGTAAAAGATAAAATTAAATTAGTAATTTAAAAGAAAATCAATTGTCTGAGAAACTTTTTATTTAATATTGAAAACAGTTTTAAAGAGCTGGAAACAAAAATAAATAACAAATCATGCTATAACATTATTTTTGGATTTCAAGACTTCCCAAGTCTTCCTTTGACTTTTCTAAAGTCAAAAATACAGATAGATAGAAGTGTACTACTTGTGGCTGTGGAGTACTCCAAGGTCAAAGATGTTGAAATTGTATACACAGATTTAGATATACCTTTCATTTTTCTATAGTTGTTGATCTTTTTTTTTTTTGCCCATGCATCTAAAATCAGGAAGAGAGTCTACTAGTTATATAATTCGTAAAGATATAGTATTCGATTTTCATTGGACCTCTTCATTTCATAATCTTCTGTAATCTGAATACAACTTGTCATAATTTTCTGTAATCTGAATAAAATAAGGATACTAGGTATATTCTTTGAAATTTATGTCATGACATAACTGTATAGTGCTTTAGAAATGTATTTATCAAGCTCTGTTCAGTATTTTGATTTTGAACTTAAATAGCTTAATCTATCTTGTTATACGTACATGCTAATTTGAGTTAGTGGCTTTTCTAAAACACAACCACAAAGCTGTATCCAAGATTTGCCTTACGACAAAATCATGGATTATGTTACTAAACTGGTTATGTTTCCATCATTGAGAAATTTGATGCTCAAATATAAAATCTTCAAACTAGATCTCAAGACTAAAGGAGGAGTATAAGTTGAGGAAGTTTGAAGGCAAAAAAATATGCACAAACACATTACTTTAGGCATACCACATCGCTTTTGTCTTCGCCTGAATGCAGCATCTATGCAACCTCCATCAGAAATCTGCAAACTCCAAAAACCCAACAAAGTAAAAGGTTTTCATCAATTTCTTGCTTGAGCACAAGATGAGAGAGAGAGAGAGAGAGAGAGAGAGAGAGAGAGAGAGAGAGAGAGAGAGAGAGAGAGTCATAAGTAGCCATTAATGATTAAAAGCTACCTCTAACTTCATTCCTTCATGGAAGCAATTAGCTACTTGTAATAAATGAAGAATATTATAAGTAACAAACATAATGGAGGAACAACGACTTCTGATAAAAAATATGTAATAAAAGCAAACACAAATTCCATAGTACAGAAATCTAACATATAGCAATAACATTAAAAGCAAAACAACTGTCAAGGAAAAATACAGTTTAATTTAACTCTTGACAATGAGTAGAATACAAATTCAGTCATCAGGCCCTTAGTTTAGCCTTCAACCTTGCAAAGCAGAGTGCTGATGAAAGATGGAACCAATTATTGAGTCCATATAACCACTTGAAGTAGGCATTCCTCCATGAATCGATGAAGAAAATAGAGCCTAACACTCCCCAAAACGCAACAATAAAACCCAACGCCATCGATATATAGAACTCTTTGGATGGAAAGTCATCATCATTTTCTTGAGAAGTACTAACATTGCTGTCATAACCAACATGAGGATTAGGAGGAGCAAATGTAGGCCACTGTGGAAGAGGACGGCCACATAGCTGAATATTCCCACCATAAGTTGAGTAATCAAAACCTTGCAATTGAGAGCTTGATGGTATTCTCCCTGAGAAGTTGTTATTTGACAAGTCCAACACACTAAGAAACGTCAAATTAGCAAGGCCTATAGGGATTTTCCCCGATAGTTGATTTCTTGAAAGTCAAGTACCTCCAACATCTTCATTGTTCCAATTCCTTCAATGATTTTTCCAGTCAAATGGTTTCTTGATAGGTTCAACAATAGCAATGCATTCATTCTGCTGAAATCTTTGGGGATGTCACCAACTAGTTCGTTGCTAGAAAGATCGATGGTTTTTAGTAGCCACAAGGTATTCTTGTACTCGTACTCTTTGTTTTTCCATTGAACAAATGTATTGCCATGGTAGGCTATAAGTCCTCGAGCGATAGCTGGATCGAAGTCATAGCTCACACTTGAACCATCATACAAAAGTTGTAGTGTAGTGAAATTGCTGAAACATTGTGGAATTCTTCCAGAGAAATGGTTGCCAGAGAGGTCCAGTATTTGAATAGATTGAAGCTGACATATACTTGGAGGAACGCTACGCGAGAATTTGTTGAATCGAAGGCTCAGAATGCCCAAATAAACTAACTTACTCCCTATCCACTCTGGGATTTTTCCACTCAATGTATTTCTTCCCAAATCCAAGACTTTCAGAGCTTGGCAATTTTTCAAAGAGGCAGGGAACTGTCCACTTAAATTGTTGTTTCGCACGTATAGAGAGTTCAATGATGCTGATGAGCACAGAGAATATGGGATGCTACCAGATATATTGTTATTGGCTACATTAAGGACCAAAAGCCCGGGCATGGGAATCCAACAATCAGGATCTCTCCTGACAGATGATTTTCTGACAAGTCAACTGTTAAAATGAATGAATCAAGTTTACATATGGAGTTAAGCAATCCAGAAAACTAATTGTTGTTAAGATGCAATTCACTAACCAATCGAGGAAATCTTGGTAAGGGCCCTGAGAAATTGTTATAACTGAAATCTATGACCATGAGACCATAACTTTGACCAACATTATTTGCTGATAAATCATGTATCATTCCACTGATTTGATTGTAAGAGAGATTCGAGTGTGTCAACATGGGAGGCAATTCTGAGAACCAACTAGGCATTGTGTCTGAGATACTAGCAAGAGAGATATCCAGATATGCATAGTTATTTTGAGCTTGAAGCCATTTTGGAAAATGCGGCCCAAGATTACAAGATGAAAGGCTGATAACTTCTAGTTGAAAACATGGAATCCAATCAAGGCTAACATTCCAAGTCAAGTAGTTGGAAGACAAGTCTAACTTTTTCAAGTTGCAAAGATTGGAAAGATGGGATTCAGAGATTGTGCCTTCTAATAAATTAGGAGGTGCCTGAAAATTTTCAAGATTGTAAAGTTGCCCCAAACTTTCCGGTAAACCTTGCAGTCTATTGAAAGAGACATCCAAGATTTTCAGCTTAGAAAGTTGCCCTAAACCATGTGGTATCATCCCATGAAAATGATTACACCTCAGATACAACTCTCTCAGAGATGGAAATAATGCTAAGTCTGGTAATGGCCCTGTCATTTGGTTACCAGACAAATCAAGATATTCAAGACTAAAGCTTTCATGGAAAATGCCATTCAGTAAATTGTGTCATAGACTCTAATTCCCTCAAGGATGAAAATCTAGTAAGATTAATCAATGAACCAGTAAGTGCATTTTGCTCAAAGGACAAAAATTCAAGTGATCTATTACTCCCTGATAATAGACTAAGCACCTCAGAAAATGGTTGACTTAAGTTATTGTTTCCTGCGTCCAGAGAGCATAAATGACTTAAGTTCCCAAAAGACTTTGGTATACCACCCTGAAGATCATTTCCATATAGATTAAGATGTTCCAAGGATTTCAAGTACCCAAAATCACTAGCAATTTGACCTAAGTCATTGACCGAAAGATCTAGGCTAGTAAGGCTAGTGAAGTTAAATAACCAATTATATAGAGTTGCTGGATATACATTAAAGGAGAAACCAAGGCTTGAAAGACGGGCGGAGGAAATATTAGCTAAGACTAGTGATGAAGGTTTGATTATGGGCAGTTCACAGGAAGATAACTGCAATTCCTTCAAATTAGGGAGCTTGGTTATCTCATGTAACTAGTTTTTGGGTTGCAGATTGGATTCACTTAAATCTAAATAATCCAAGTAGACTGGATGAGAAAGCCACTCAAGGCTCTTGACTATTAAAAAATTTCCACCAAGAAAAAGAGCCCTTAAGTAGGTAAGATTCCGGAGCTGGGGAGGAATTGGACCAGCAAAACGATTGAAACTAGTTTCAGATGAGAGATTTAGGTACTCTAGTCTTTTGAAGTAACCGATAAATTTTGGTATTTGGCCTCCAAAATTATTGGAACTAAGGTCCAGGTACTTCAAATATTGCAACTTAACCAACAAAGAACTAATATTACCTGTCAAATACGTGAACGTGTTACACGAAGATTGAGGACGAGTATATGGCCAGTTGTGTTACTGCATTTCACACCCCTCCAAGAACGACATTCCTCATTATTTTCTTCATTCCGCCATGAAGAAAGCAAATCATATTCGTCTATGGGACCTCGTTTGAACTTGAGAAGAGCTTCCCTCTCCTTAGTAATGCACAAAACTTTTGCATGATCCCCACTTGACATTGATCCAAAAGCAAAGCTTTGATGCAGGATCAGTATGGATAGACAAATCAGAAGCAAATGAATTGATTTGTAGTATTCTTTGGTATCCATTTTTAGCTAAGACTAGTGATGAAGGAATGACTATGGGAAGTTCACAGGAAGAAAATAAGTAACAAATCATGCTATATAATATTTTTGGATTTCAAGACTTTTCCAAGTCTTCCTTTGCCTTTTTGAAAGTCAAAAATACACATAGATTTGAAGAGTACCCCTTGTGGCTGTGGAGTAAACTGAAAAAGGAAAAGGAAAGAAACGGACACACAATGGCAATTGAAGAAAAAACAAAGTGCCAGTAACAATCTTAATTAATGTGAAATACTGGAAATAAATAATGTACGGAAAAGACAACTCCAAGATCAAATATGTTGAAATTGTATACACAGATATAGATACAGTTTTTCTTTTTGCCCATTTAAAAGCAGGAAGAGAGTCTACTAGTAATAAAATTCTTGAAGATATAAGATTACATTTTCATAATTTTCTGTAATCGGAACCGAACTTGTCACTCCAATTTCAGAAAAGAGTAGATAAAATCCAAGTGCCATTACAAGTATAAAACACTAATAAGGCTAATGACTGTACTTCATCAATAGGTATTACTACATCTTGCTTTCCTTAATTTCTATTTTAATGTTTTCTTGCACATCTTATTTGAGATAAACAGAACGAGTTCTCAAAAAAGTTCTTTCATATCAAAGACGAGCCTTTTAAAAAAAAAAAAAAAAAAGTGGGGGGGGGGGGTGGGGGGGGACACTTCCGCAATATTTGTGGTCAAGCCGTGTAAATGGCCTCTTGCAGAAATGCAAGGTAAGACTGGTACAGTGGCAGAGCCACGATATCCGCTAAGGTGGTTCAAAAAAGAAAAAAGTTGGTTGCGTCATGGCGTACACAATATACCTTTGTGGTCCGGCCCTTCTCCCGGACCCCGCGCATAGCAGGAGCTTAGTGCACCGGGCTGCTCCTTCTTTCGCAATATTTGGTTATTTGTTCACTACAAGTGATGATAGTCAACTTAACCTTTCACAAGTTTTTGAAATATCCAATTCACTCCTTTTGTGCATTTTATCAGAAATTTATAGCACACAACTTCAGTAAGGTTAATAGTTTCCAATTTATCTATTAATTAATAGAAAAGGAGAAGGAAATCAAGTAAAAGAGAATATGTTAGCAGCTAGCTACCCAGATATAAGGGTTTAATAAATTGGCTCTACACCAAAAGTAGGGTCATAATAATTAATGAAGTTGGCAAAAAACTATTAAGAGAATACGATTCAAATACAAGCAAAGACCAAAAAACTATGACTAGACCTTAATTTGTTTCCAATTCCAAGTTCTTAATTCAATAGTGACAGAAAAAGTTGACTCACATTGTTTTGCTAGCTCCGCGGCAAAGCACCAACTGGTAGAGAGTTCTCATGGCTGCCAATATTGCTACAATCTTGAGTTTTTACTGCTAATAATTTTTGTATATGCATGCTACGCTGCTTTAGTTCCATAAATCTTCCACTCTTTCCCGTTTAAATTCAAGGTTTTCGAAACCCTTTTGGTTTTGATTGCGGCGCCAAGGGTGGTAAGAAAGAAATTGGGAAAAAAAAGTGTGATAAAAAGGAGTGCAAAAAAAAAGAAAAAAAAAGAGGGGAAAAGGGTAAAACCAAATTGTATATGACGTGGCAATACATGGCAAGGCATAGGTTTGGGGACGAAACAGATAATATCGTTATATAACCATCGTTCCCTATAAAAAACTAATTTTTTTTTCAAAATCGCTTTTACATTATATTAGTATCCGTCGCGCGCGTTGCGCAGAGAATAATAAATATAATTTGTATAAGAATATATATGTTGTAAAAGACGATAGATATAAAGGATCGTGGAAATGCTATTTATTTTTGGAACATATAAATATAATGGATATTCGTATAAATAGGTTAGTAAGGAACACAATTAAAGAAACGTTCAGTTATTTCCTAAAGTCCAATAATGTTCTCTACGGCCTCAATTAAAGCAAATCATTGTATACCAGCTAGATTGCCATAAACAAAGGTTTTTAATGCCTTAAAAAATTCAAGAAAACACCCTAGTATTTCAAGATAGATAAATCAGGCTTCATAACATACCGTTATGGGGAAAATTACTTCTTACTTTGCACAACCTTGACATCCACAATATACACTCTATTACAGCAACTTCCCTAAGGTGCTTTATGGGGACACGACATGCACAAGTAGTTGCAAAAAGAACTCATAAATACTATCATGGCATGATTAAACACGACGGTAAAAGAATTGCACGTAGTGATCCAATCTCTGCTAAATCCAATTCTAGAGCTGCTTCGAACTGAAATCTTTTCAAGATGATTCTAAGCCAGAACATCTACCGCAGAAACATGAAAGAAATGTTTGAGAATGTGGCTTCCTCTACTACAAAGCATCATCTACATTGTGCATTCAGTACTGCATTTCCGCACTTAGTCCATGCGAATGCCAGAAAGATCCATAAGACAAGAATGGGCTCCTATGATGTACAATATTGAATATTGGCCAGAATGTTTCACACTTTCTTTTATCATCATTAAGGTGTATTGCCAGCTTCAAAAACCCAGAAACAAAGAAGTCAAGGTCTGGAAATTCCAATCAAAAAAATAAGAAAAAAGATTACTCGATTCTACCATGCATCAAATTACTAACCTTCTTTCATATAAGCATCCAGCTCATGTAGGGTAGGCTCAATCAACTACCAACCCTCGGGGCATTTTATATGATTTGTCTTGACACGCTTGTAAATTTTGCAGGACTTTTCATCTGAACAAAGGAAATCCAAGAAGATGTCAAAGAAGGATAACAACCTCACATATGAAAGTTCGTCAAGTAGATGTTCGTCATCCTATAGTGTGCAAGCCATTTCTTCAAATAGTGTAGTTAGGGCAACAAAGACAGATGATTGCATTTGAAATCGAGTAGGAATCAGGTTATTACCATTTTTATTATTTCTCCTCTGGTCTATTTCATCTATTTTATCAAAAGGTTTAAAATAAATAGAGAGCAAGTTGTTGTTGGTGCAATGGGTTCTAAATTTAGATACTTCTCTTTCTACTTCCCTAAAAGTTCTAAGGGGGTTGTGACAGGGAGAGTAGAGCTGTTGTTTCTGGAAAAAAATATCGAATGCAAGGGAAATCTAGCTCTCCTGCCCA